TAGGTACGACGAGCGCTGGAAAAAAGGTGGATGAAGCATGAACTCAACAGCCAAACATCAAGTAAGTCATGTACACATGCTACATTAGCATAGGCAGATGAACCGTAGGCAATTAACTGCCATCACACCCATCGGAAGAGTTTTACCACTGGTTCCACTATTAACCTTATACTTTCGGCTGGTTTCATCTTAGGGTCCTCTCTACCCCACTAAGGGGGAGGTGGGCTGTAGTGGCAAACAATTCCCCGAAGTTATTAGCCCATAGCATTCGCCACTCATCAATGAGAGCTGACCATCACTCCTCGCTAGATAATCATTCAACATCGCACTACGACTGTGATCCCTAAATATACATCGTATTCCGGACGATTAACTCGGTGTTTTGATCTGCCTTTGGTCCACGTGGAAGAAGTTCTGTAGGAGTTGTAGAATTAGAACCTGCGTCAATATACATCGCTCCTCGAACAAACATCAGCACTCCCTCATCTCCTAAACTAGTAAGCCCACATAGTAACGCCTAACGTTCACGTAAACTTGTAGCGGTAATAACGCAAGTTCAACTTCGTGTTTGTAGTACTGTTTGAGAAACATAATGAAGAACATCACAAATCTAGTGATTAAATTATATGATCACCTCGTCAGGCTTGCTGGCAGTAAATTATGTTAAGAGCATCATCTAGCTATTATTAATGTATTGCTGTGGTTATATGGGATGACATTTTCCAGTACGAGGTTATGCATTACCTATATGATCTAGTCCTGCATTTGTGTATTTCGCCAATTCTTGTAGCAGTATTTAATTTCAGAAAATTATAAGTCTAGGACATTCTTCATCCAACACTGGCTGCCAATATTCACTATTTAAACTGGGTTGTTAAAACAACGGTACATGGTCAGGCATCCATGCCATTTAGCACGTTGCCATGTTACATTTCTTCGTACGCGAATCCTGGTTAGTTTGGGAACTATCATGACTTGGCATTTCTGATCCCCAAATATGTCTGATATTTTGAATGACCAATTTGTTGGTTCGATTGGTCTCTGGCCTCATTAGAACAAGTAATGTGAGGGGTATAGTACAAATACTTGTGTTTGTATGCAGTGCCTCTTGCAGAAAAGCTAACATCCGCCATCCCACTAGGCTTCGACCCACTATTGTGGCAGCCATCTATGCCAAATCAAAGTCGTCTGCATGGCACAGAAGTGGCTGAATCTGTCTATTTAACGTATCTTAAGCCGGCTTTTTTTGAAGTCCGAGATCAAGCATTGAAAACCGCTTTCAGCGGTAGGCCAATTATCAGTAATTAGTGGATGGAATGTAACCATATCCAGTTCTCGTTAACAATTGGCCAGGATGACGATTAGTACTTAGGCACAACAGAAAAATACGACCTTGGGTCGTCAATAAAAAGTGTTCTCCATGTGGCGGAGTCGTCTTATACGCTAACAGTGTAGGCGATGCACTATTAGTAGTGCTGTTAGCAACAAAGATTGAATAAAAATACCTTTCATCAATCTACTAACCATGTCATTTGGAGAAAACTTCATGGAAGCGACCTATTGGGTGCAATTTCTAGAGAGCGATTTTTAAGATGCGGCCTAATTTCACAAATAACTGTCGAGTGTAGTGCACTGTGTCATTCTTCATTGATATGCCGAAGAATGAAGCGAAGTACAATTTTTGTGCCCCATAAATACTGCTTGCAAAGTTGAGGAACTCGAAAGGTACATGACAAAGGAGCACTCCGAATGAAACCATGCTGGGGTTTAGTAATTAGAACTTCAGAAAGTTTTTGACCAGAAAAATCATCATTGCCAACGTTCAAGAGCTAGTGAAATTACTGGTTTAATATAATTTAGTCTGTTTTTGCCAGCATTGCCTGTAACCATATTTGTAGCGAAGCATCAGAAAGCCAGTTTCCTAGACACGAAGATAAATTCAACCGTGATCTGATAGGATGAATATCTTGAACGACTGGTTTCACATTTTGATGACTATGGACCGAAGGCCATGTGTTTGTACATCGGTTGATGGTTAGAAACCGTCGATATGATGGATAATATTTTTCCTGTGGGGTTTAAAATTCACGCATGAACTGCAAGTAAATGGAATGTGTGTGTGCGTCAGGTTTCAAATTGACTAACTTTAAAAGTGTTAACACACCCATCACAGAAATATGTATGTTTTTGAGTCTAAAGAATTTCTAGCGCTTAAGCTCTTAAATGACTCGAGGTTACTATGAATTTATCACAATAAGAGAATGCTTTAGGAAAACTAGAATAGAGAGGGTGATTGCCTAAACATCATCAAATTAGTTGAAGCTTCAGAGATCAGTTTTTGTTTATCTGTGCAGATGAAAAAGCGGGGTAGACCATTAGTTTCAAAGGAGAAGAGTTAAACAGGTTTGTTGTAGTGTGACTGCGTATCTCCATACTCGGTTTTAATTGTCTTCAGTAAATACATTTTTCAGCAGTCGTAAGTGTTTTACAGTATCCCTTAGTAAGCTGGGGCGGTGTTAAGAACAGCCTGGCCACCAGTTTAGGTGGGCCAGGGTTAACAGTCGGCAGCTAGTGTGTCCAAAGCTCAGGTCTCGCAGGATAGATTGCTACAAAATCGCGGTCGTTATTTCAGGTCGAAACCATCTGGGAGAGGTTTCAAAGTTATTAAAAGAGCTTAACTAAATGGTTTCCTAGAGGCACATTGTGACATTTTCGGACGATGCACTATGCATTAGAGAACTGATATCGCAATATGACACCATAGTATTTTGTTCGAAGGTGATGATCAGTAGTTCATACTCCGGTGTTCACTCTTGAATCTCACTGAATGTCTTACAACTTGTAATTTCTCAGTGCAATAATCTATTTTTGCGTCATGGTGCTTTTTCGCTGAATGTAAAGGAAGGATAAGTTAGTGGCACTGATAGACAGTTAACTTATGAAATAAGCGTCAACAAGATCACACGTTGCACTATGTAATATTCACTTGCGTGAATTTCAAGCTGAATCTCAGCAGCTATTCATTCTTGTTAACTGCTTCAAAGCAAAGGGGATCACAACAAGTTTGCGGATTGGATTCCGAATAGATTAAACCTTCCAGATCTCTTTGGGCAATAATGAGATTCCTTTCGGTTTTTGAAAATCCCAGGGACTTTCTAGTCATTGTTGCGTAGGGTAATCCACACCGAGTTCAGAGCAACTCATCATCTCCCCCTGAATTATATTCTCTGCAGTGTATACGTACATATAATATATTTATATTGGCCCTTCCACTAACCTCGCAGTAATGAATTAAAATTTGTTTGCCCAGTGTTTCTCAAATCTACTAGGTTTCACTTGCAAGAAATTTCAATGAATATTTAAGGAATGCTAGAGCTCGGAGGGACTTCATTTTGTTACGAAAAGTTTGCGAATCAAGGCATACGAGTATATTTAATTAGTTGTCACCCTATCTTTCTTTGTGATTTATGCCAACCCATACACACTACACAAATAAACACAAGGAGGATATGACAATTTATACGTGCTAAGTTGGGTGAAGTTATTAGAACTAGCATCACAGAATAGAAGTATTACTATGTAGGCTACCTTGTTTTGTGACCCTTAGTTTCACTGTGTTAAAGTGAGCCTTTATTGGCAATATGTGGACTCCACGAGTTCAGAACTCTACAAGCTTAGTGTATCTGACATTGATTATTGTCTCCTAGTAAGTTACTGATAGGGACATGGAATAGAGGTCTCCCTTAGATACTTTCTCGGTAATACTTCGGAGGGTTCTCTTCTTCAAGTAAGATGCAATTCTCAGCAACAATTAGTTAAGAATCACCAACCTAGTGGTACACTTAAGAAAAATTTCAAGTGAAACTATACCAGGTGCTTATGTTTGAAGTCAGGTTCATACTTTAGTTGCTTCTGGTAGAGAGGCCAGCGCTCCCCAACCTTCGTTCCCGAGTGGGCTAACTGGTGATGAATATGCTAGTGATTAGCTCTACGAATAATTACAGAATGAACATCGGTGATCAGATTATTGGATGTATGGTATATCTGATGCATGTAACAATGCACTGAAAGTTGTCTCAGTAGGAAAACTGAGATCGTACTGTTCATATTTTCGAATCGGATTACAGCGGAGCGACAGCAAAAACGCAATCCGCAACCATACTATGAACCAAAGCGGAATGAAGTGTTTAGCTCGACTGACTGCAAATTATCAAGATCAGGTGCTGCTAAGAATTATTCAAGACATGCTCATGCACCTCACTGTGTAGGGATAACACCACTACATACCCGAACTAGCATTGATAGATGGAAGAGGATGTCACTGATGGTGTCTGCGTAAGAAACATGGATGCATGAGGAACTAAACGGCATTGAAAGCTTCTAAGAGGCTCCTTTACTGTCAAGCCAAACAAAACAGAACTGCTGGTCGTTCAATGACCGAGATATTGTTTTACAAAAAGTAGGTACCGTAGGTGTACTGTAAATACTTGTCTAGCATGCACCACCTATTTTCCAACACTGACTTCTAAATGTGAAATTTTATGACTAATGGAATTAGGAGTTCCTTAATACTCCTCTGTATGTGCAGTGAATATCAGAAGAGAAGTTGGCAGATATACAGTATGATATTCCCCAATTTTTCTCTTTCAGTGTTTCCAAGCAACTTTTCAAAACAGGCAGTTAGTGAGCAGTAGAATAGCTAGTGGGATTTAGGTCATCACTATTTCAGTAAAATTATAATAAGATACGAAGGATAAGTCATATTAGCAACCTCAGCCCATTTCATGATACACAGCCCACCTGACACCTAACTTCTCTTTTTTATCAGCAGACTTTCGTAATAAACTGGAAACCATCACTTCAAGTGCCATGCGCACTGCAAATGTCATGAAAACTCATCTTCAGAAGATAATTTACAGTATATTCACTAACATTGTACAGTTAATTATGGTAATTTATGCTTTTCCACGATGTAAGGTCACTTTAACAATTAGAAAGTCCAGATTAGGTGTGGATGTAGAAATTTGTTTGCCATTGGTTATAATCCATCATTTTGTGTGTGACTTTCTAGGTCATTATTGTTAGCGTATACCCGCGTTGTTCGTAAATGGATGAACTTGGTTAGTTGTAAAGTACTGTTTTTATTTGGTTTTACACATTAAATATGTCATGATGACGTTAATTTTCAGTCTTTACTACTTTTTACTTCAGATTCTTTATTGAATGAGTTGCACCAAACAAATCAGAAGATTCTACAGAAAAATAAATACTGCAATTCTTATTGTGATTACAGCAGTTCCTTCACCAATGTGACTGGTAGTGATCAGCAGACAGGAACAGATAACTCTACTGGAAACAAATCTTCATTAGAGCAAGAGAATTACAGCAATGGTCTGAAAAATAGCCAGCCGAAGAATGTGCAGGAGCTTAATGAAATGCTTGCTGATCTTGATAACTTCGACTATGTTCAACTAAATTATACTCCACAGGGATATTCAAACTGTAAGTTCGCCAGAACAATGTGTGATGCAAGATTAAATATAGACTTAGTAATTTGTTTATCTTGGTGGTCACAGCGAAACAAAATCATGCTTAGCCTGGGGAATACTCGTCATAATTTTTTGAGAGATGCCTAGGACTTAAGTTTGTGCTAAACTGCATCTTTTATTATTACTATAAACAATATCTTACCCGATGAAATTTTAAACTTACTAGGATGTATTGTGATATCTCAAGCAATTATTTTTTTTAAGAAAATGCCTGGGTTCGTTTTGAAAATCTTCAGCATTAGTTAAAGTAATCACTACAAAACAAGGGAGTGCGCAATGGCACTGTACATGGTTAAGTTTTGATTGTTCTTCATTTAGTTTCATCTTTAAATTTTTCTTGTTTGTATTTCCATCTTTGCCTTTGGTTGCTACTGTTGTGCTGCTATATTTTGATTAAACTAGCGTATACGTATATCCTAATATTTCTTCGCGTTTATAATTGTGTCCTAACGTTGCGATTACTCGACATCCACAACGTAATTCAAAAGGCGATTGCGAAGGAATACGATAGTGTATTATTGCAGCAATCAAAATTCAAAAATCAAGCGAGTACAAAGGTATCAATTGTTAACATGCAAGATTTAGAGTAATAAACAAATCAAAGTACAATTACACAATGAAAGTATAGTACGATGATGAGTAATAAAATGGGTCACTACACTACTTTGGCTTCTCATTATTCCAGAATGAGTCAACTTGAGGTAACGCTCAGTGCTAGATTTTGAGTTATTGTTCTAGCACCATACTATGAACTGGTCTTTGCTGGGTAAACTTTTTATTAAAAGACGGAATTTAGGTATTATCTAGTCCGTTTCATGTACACTTATGTTAACAAAGGTTGTGTGTTCAAATGGAACACCTTAAAATCAATAACTGTAAACCCGTTATTTAATCGTACTTTCCTGAGTTACTATTGTCCCTACTTATTGGTAGTAATCTAGTAACATCACTGATAGGATACTTGTAATTACTTTGTAGTTTTTGCCTTCTTAAGACATGTGTTACAGTTGAATAGTGTAAAAAACGGACTCATTTTGTATATACACGTCAGTACTTATTAGTAATTTACAGCTGAATAATTAGTTCTCACTTTTATTTTTCTGCAGTCATCATTAATGTAAATATCAGTTGAATTCCACACAGCGGTTCACTCACTTTGTCTTTAACCACCACTGAGTGATTGGGAAAAGTGACCGACTAATATTCCGTACATTAATGTCTAATGATTTGTGCCTTTCAAAGAAAATCTAAAGGCAAGTTGACAGTGAGAGGCCGAATTTACCTTGCTTCATGTACTTATCGTTGTTATGAATCTCTTTTTGCCGCACACATGAAAGTTTCTGAAAGTATTAGTGTTAATTCCACTTCTGTTTGACTTCAGAGACTTCGTTGTCTTTGTACGCTGAATTTAGAGGGCCGCATATTTATTGTTTGTTTCGGGGGTGTCTTATCTGTATTTTATTCAAGAAACTTCTGTTGTTTTTGAGAAATTTTCTATAAGTATATTGTTTTGTGCCACCGAAAAGTGTTTTCTTGAATGAAGCAATCAAATACTTGGCAGAAAGTTAAAGGAGCTGCATTCCCTAGGGAGTCTTGTTTTATCCGTTTCTTTACTCAATATACATTGATATCTTTGGATGACTATCTCGATAGTCCATCTTTTTATCTTTAGGTTTATCTAACAGTGTATTTACACGGTTTAAATTTTTCTGTGTCTTGAGTGGCTTGATATCATTTTTTATATTTACATATTACCCAATATTAATCAATAAATTCTGTCAACCAATTCTTATTTTACTTAGCTTCTTATCGCATTTCGTACCTACTTTTGCCAACATTTTCAAGCAAGAGTGTTAAGGCCTACTAAGATATCCAGCACTTATTCATTTACTCCAGCCATTTATAAGAATCGCGCAATAGTGTGTTAAATATTGGATTTTAGTAGAGATGTGTTATATGATAGTGGTGTAAGATGTCATACGGCAATTTCTTGGAAAAGTGATGATTCTACTCAAATTCCTAGACTCTAGTAAATGTAGTGTGACTTAAATCAGCATCTTAGCTAACGAATAGTGTTTGTTTGCTTCAATAGATTTTTATTATATGAAGGGTACAAATGACCCCGTTTCCTGCCTACTTCAATTAATGTCTCTTGGTTTAATCATCATGGGACTAACGAAAATACCTCAACATCAACTTGTTTTATCGACAGAATGCACACTTTCCTGGTCACCTTTATGTACACACGACTAAGTTGTAAGGTGACATATTTTTCAAAATTAAGGCGGTTTTAATTCATCCATATAGTCTAGTTAAAGTGTTTTTCCTAAGAGAGCTTTTAAAAATTAGATAATACACTAATATTAGTAGTATGTCTCAATTAGAGTGTATTTATACATGTAAGCACTACTAAAACTGTCTTTCAATCTTATGCACAAACCAAAGATGATGAGTGAGTGTTTCCAAATTCAATAAATATTTGATAAACGATAGCTGTTCACAGTATATATTGTGCCAATGCACTTCAAAATCTTGCCACTTTAACTATTACAATTTCTATAGATAATAATTGATCCACTTGAATTGTAAAAATGAAATATAGCAATAATTTATAATTGCCATTTGAAATTGACACTAAGGTATAATTTTATTAAAATACACTGTAATAAGATAAACTATGTCATTATTAAACCACCACCTATTGAGAGAGTATATAGGAATATATATTGAAAATTGTTTGTATAACTAGTTATTATATGATAACAATATAATGAAAGATCTAGTTAATTACTAATCATCAGAAATTCAATTCATTTGTTTATTTGTTTAAATTGAAATGTCATGGTGCAGATTAAATTGTAAATTATGATTAAGATTGCAGAGGTGATGAATCTCATACATTGTCATTGAGATCTCAAATATAATCCACTTGTGAAAAGGTCATATTTAATACTTCAGATGTGTTTACTTGAAATCTAGTATACGCAAAACTTAGACTTAATATACTATTTAAGTATTTTATTTATTTTTGATAAGTTTTGTGTTTCTTTTATTTTTATTTACATTTTGGGATAAATATGTGTAATAAATTTAAGTTATACCACAGCATAGCTTGAGAGAACAAATCTATTGAACGGATAGTATCGAGTTATTTTTGATATAATATTAATTCATTGAAAATGCCCAATAACATTTTAAAGGATTGATTAATGGACAAAGAACATACTCTTTTCGATAACCTCTTCTTCATCAGGCTTGACACTTATGTAAGAGTAATAATTAATCGATTATTGTTATTAACAACATCAATGTTTTAAATTACATAAAATCAGTAGTATCGACAGATTATATTTCAAAAGCATCAGTAAGAGAGAGCGAGAGATAATATACATTAGTATAACGCTAAACAAAATATCAGATAAATTTAGGGAACTAACAGATAATCTATAGTCTGGACAGTAGGCTAGGGTAGCAATATTGGCTGGATGGACCTGTTTCTCTTGTTCACAGGACTCTGGCCGATTTAAAAAACTGCAATGGCCTCTGCTGTTTGGATTACTTGGTATCTAGAGGCCTTTGGTAATTTATTTGATACCCAGTAGATGATAGACACCTTTTGATGCTAGCTCTGTGGACGAAGTGGTATAATAGGGTGAGCAATATTGAGGTTAGGCAAGAGTGCTAGGTAAAGAGGGGAAATCAATAGACGAGGCTATGAAGTTACATGGATTGAGATGGTTAGGACATGTGTTACGCATGCCTAGTCATCGCCTTCCTCGACGGGCAATATAAGATGACATAGGGTCAGATTGGTAAAGAGCCCGTGGTGGTCAAACTAAAACATGGCTTCATCAGTCAATGAAATCCACAACAGTTAGTTTAAGCCAGCCATGTAGGAAGGTGCAGACTTCCTGGTCGGGGTCCTCGGGACGGTAAAAACCAATGGCTGGAGACAATCGGTGATATGGCTCAAAATCGTTGTCAGTGCATGGCGCAGATGCATCCACTCCTTGTGACTTGTAATACCCAACAAAACTGTATTTCTCTTCGATATTACATTTGTTTTCGCCTCATATCTCTGTTTACTGTCTTTATTTTGCGTCTCTTTTCACTTTCTTCTTCCCTTGCTTTGTGTGCTGAGTGAAGTGTGGCGACTTGAACTGTTGCACATCGGTGCAAAGTTCTATGTTGAAACCAGTCAGTCAGCTTTTGGATAAGGTGTTCTAACATAGAACTGTTGACGGTCTCAACAATACCTTTGTTTAACCACACCGGTAGGTGATCCCGAGCACGAAAAACTGTGTTCCAGGTAGAACGGACAGTATAACTGACTCTACAGGAGCATTTGAAATGATAGATACAATAAGAGGTGGTCAGCCTAGTTACTTCATCTTTATTTCCAGAATCCCAACAAGTTGTGTGGAAAATGTGAGCATCAGCTTACAGGCAATAAAGTTCCTTTGAATCGATTTTCTCAACTTTTCGGTTATTATTTCACTTGGAATTTCACCCTTGAATTGTACTCGTAAATACAAAGGCTTCTTGTTAACATATCGCAGAAGAATTCTTTTCTACCTTCTTGGTCGTGTGCTTTTAGTGATGCAGTTCTCAGGGTATGGGATAAATTACCAAAGGCATCTAGGTACCGGACACTTCGAATAGTAGATACTATTGCAATTCGTTTAAATCAACCGGAATTCTGTGTGCAAAAGAAACAGGTCCACTCAGCCATTATTGCTACCCTGGCCTACTGTCGAGACTATAGATTATCTGTTAGTTCCCTAAATTTATCTGATATTTTGTTTAGCGTTATACTAATGTATATTATCTCTCGCTCTCTCTTACTGATGCTTTTGAAATATAATCTGTCAATACTACTGATTTTATGTAATTTAAACACTGATGTTGTCAATAACAATAATCCATTAATTATTGCTGTCATTTGAATGTAGAATCTGATGACAGTAATAAAATTACCTATAAGTGTTAGGAAATAATCTACACACATTGAGTGTGTCTAAATGTTCTCCTTTAAATTAGTAATAATTTAAGCATACAGTCTTTTGTAAACTCTTGAATAATTATCATAGTGTCGATTGCTTTATGCATGAATTATTTTATTCTGTTATGCTTGAGTTAACAATATTTCTGATTCTCTTATATGCTTTATATTTTGGTTTGAATTTTTAAGAAATTCAATTTATAAATATTTATGTATTTGTAGTGCATTAACACTGTGAAGCTAGTTTATGATGATAATTGTTTTAAAATAACAAAATATTTATCGGTAATTTTTGAAGATTTTCATTGTTTCCAGTTTAATTCGTCTATTTTATAAAAAAGAAATATTAGGAATGTTATATCCTCTGCCCTTCTTTATGATTGTGACTCATGCCATTGCAGCTGAAAGATATAAAGACGCTAGCTGTCTTTGATCACAAATGTTTGTGTTCTGTTCCCCGTGTTAAGTGGTATAATGTGGTGGTTAATAAGGGGTTAGGCGTAGTGTTAGGTAGGTAGGGAGGGCGAGTCAATCGATGAGGTTGTGAAGTCATACTGATTGAGATGGCTAAGACACGTGTTACGCATGTCGAGACACCTTCTTCCTTGATAAGCAATGCTAGCTGACATAGTATTAGGTTAGAAAAGGGTCTGGGAGGGTCAGGTGAAAACCTGGTATCAGTCCATGAAGTCTTTGACTGTTCATTTGAGTCGGCCATGTAGGGAGATAGAGAATTCTAAGAACCAATGACTGGAGACTATTGATGATATGACTCAAAACTGTTCTCAATGGCGTAGATGCAATTTACTAATTGTAATCTCCCAGATCCATTAAACTCTTATGTTTTTCCATGTTGCTATTCTTTCTCTTTGATATTTCTGCTCATTATAGTTCTTTTGAGTCCCTTCTCTGTTTTGTCTACCTTAGTGTGCTACACGATATGTGTGGCAAGTTGGACTGCTGCACTTCTGTGCAAAATTCTACTGCGAAACTCAATCAGTCAGTTAGTTATGTCCTTTGATTACCAAACTACTTCAGGTAAAAATTAGGCTCTGTTAAGTGAGAATATAGCATGTATATAATGTATATTAGGTTAACTGATATTCATGTTTGATTACCTTTTTTGTGTTTTAATCAATAAATTTCTGTTTTTTTAGCCACTTAAATCTTTTATTGTTTTGTTTTTAATCTTCCAAATAATACAGACATTCAAAGCCAAACGAATCAATTGGAGGAAAGTTCTACCTGTAATACAAAGTAAGTTATCCTATTATCATTTGACACTTATTCAGTTCAATTTAATTTAAATATTTCTCCTGTTTCAAATCGTTTATTGTAGAAGTAAAATTTTATTTATCCCAAATATATACATATATCATACATCTTACCTATTTTAAGTAATTTTTCCAGCAATCTAGATAATTAAATATGTGAAAAGTTCAAGGAAAAACTCAAATGCTGTGTGAATTTTTTTTATTTCGCTTATGCTTCCTTTTTTCTAAATTTTTGATTCCTAGGCTAGATAAAATAGACAATAACTGATATAAGTATAAAACTTAGGCACTGTGGTAGAGTATAACTCCATTATAGATAAGATTTTATTTTGATAAATCACACAGTGTTATATAGTATACAGTGTCTGAAGTGTTTTGGGTGTGATATTAAACGTAGACGTTTTTGGTATAAGCACCTGTTTAAAAACTGTGGTCATTTATTTTTATTTTCTAATGCATTCTAAGTAGACAGCATCGATTAATGTCCCTCATATATTAAAAAATTGAGCAAAGAAAATCTTTTTCGATAATTTCCTCTCTCTCTATATATATGTATATATATATTGCATATTAGTAGTAAAGTAGAACATTTAGTTAGGTAGTACGTTTCTGAAATAATGGAGGAAGTTTCATCCTCTTTCTAGGAAACATCTTCAGCTCATACTTTGTATGAATTGAAATTATTTGAATTCTTTATGAATGGTGTAATTTTATCTACTAACTACTAGTAGAGTAGGTGAATGTTCGTTAATTTATATTAGTATCGATTACCTTTACTGACTTGGAATGTGACTTTTTTATCATGTGACATATTTTTTATTAATTGATAAATTTGATCTATAATAACGTGTCTGTTGAACGCTGAGTAACCAGGCGTCTGAGAATTCTGTTTAAATTTTCTACATTTCCTCAATCAAATTATTGTCCATAGTCGTGTACATGTATCAATATAAAAATATATGTATCGTGTCTTTTAACAGATAGTTTGTGTTCTCGGACTCCGAGTCAAAAAGGAATCTCAATTTGAATAATGTAACAGTGCTTGTCAAAGTTCATGCAGTTTATTTTGTTTAAATAATGCTGATTATGTCCACTTTGTTGTTGGGTCTTTTGGTCTTCATAGTATTCTGAGTGATTTCTAGTAAATTAACCGTTATTTTAAAAAAGTTCTTTATTTATGATAAGATGAATTTTCTTTTGGTGTCGGAGAATCATCTCTGCTGGTAGTTTGGATCGAGTTTAGACATCTGTCACATATTACACAATCTTAAAGCAAAGACTGCATTTAAAGTACAGATGGCTTTGCCTTCTTCCTCTCATTTCTTCAAAGCCGCCTCTACTACGACTATAGTTCATTAGAGAGAAAAATTTACTGAAAAATAAATTTTTACACTCATCTATTGAGAAGACTTCATCCTGTAACTGTTATCGTAAAGCCCATCACACTGATATTGTTTCGAATGTCCATCATAAACTGGGAACTTGGAAATTGCATTTAACTATTTTTTATTCAACCTATTTGGAATATTTTACCACGTATGATCTGTAGTGATTTGATTGAAATTATTCCACTGTTCATTAGTGGATGAACTTTTTGGAGTCCCATCAAAAAATGCTGACTGATTAGGTCCAGAGAATTGCATTTGAAGACACATACTCATCATCAATAACATCATGTGGCTCTAGTGCTATATTGCAGACTGATACAGTTAGAATTCATGGGCAGTTCGATCCCTACGAATTAGCTGAATGACAACATGCTCTCCTTGTAAGCTGCACGTCCTCGACTAAAACCCTGATGAGGTCCACTACTGCCTGGCTTTCAATGATCCTCTGAATGATGTAGGTTAGTGAGGGGTACAGAACAGCCTAATTCTAGTATAAATTATAAAACACAAACACATAAGTAATACGTTTTTCATCGTTTGCTTTCATGAAATCGTCGACTTTGCTTTGTATCAGTGTGTACAATGGGTTTTCATAAGCGTAAGGTTCTACTTTGTTTAATTTTACTTAGCTTGATAAATGCCACATCCATCATCTTCACTGAGTGCTTATCTTTCTATCTGATAGTGATAGTAATTCCTTAAGATATTTTTAAGTGTTTAACTTCGATTCTGTTAATCTTTCTTGATGTATTCTGTTCATTATATATAGTGATCAAATGATTTGTTTTTTTTTCCTGTGATGTATCCTAAGGAAACAACTGGTCGAGATCATACATCACCTAAATCTCATTATTTAAAGCCATATTCTCTTACTCAACTTATAGCCATATTCTTTTTAAGAAACATGAAACGAGGTTTTATTAATCCTCAATATCCTGTGGACAAATAACGCTTAACTAAGCTCTTTAAATCATCTGTAAGTGATAAGACTTACAGTGAAATGTCACAAGAAATTTATGTATACAAACTAAAGTCACGAATTGGCGGAAATTGTAATTCACGGGTGATTGGATTCCGTCTCAGTGGCTAAATGTTCTACGAGCTCACCTTGTAAACGTAAGGTCATGGGTTCGAACCCTGGTGGGCATGTACTGTTGAACAGACCCAATGTAGGAAGAAAGAGCTTTCCAGTACTCCCTAGTTTTCCAGTGATTCTCTAACTGATGTCAGCCAGTGATCGAACCTGTAAATTGCTTGTGTTTGTTGCTGCCGAAAACAATTTACTAAGTGTTTGGTCATAGAATGTGAAGAGATTTACTTAGGGACCTAAAAAATATCAGATTCTTTTAAATGAATAATTTTTTTGGCTGAAAATTTGTTTTTAACTGACTAAACTCTCACTCATAATGATGTCAACATGATTTAAATATAAACTGAGCAGCTTAATATCTCAAAATAGTAATTAATAAAGTGGAAGATGATTGAAGGTAGAATACAAATCTGGATCGCGGTAGGACTCAAACAGGTGGCTTTCGAACTGTTGTTCCGTTGCACTACTGGCTGATCTACCACCCCCAGCTACTAAACAGATCATCATTTCACTGGGGTCATCTGTACTCGCTGTGCTATTGTCTATGTCCTAGATGTGATATTGTTCAATGTTCCATTTATAACCAATTCGTTTAAATTTCATGCCTGATTGATTGAATGAATTTGCTTCCTGTTTATTCTTCTATAAAGTAAATATAGCTGCCATTTTTAAATATCTATTGTTTAAGATTATTAATAGGTGTTTTGAAGTGGCTTTTAAACCAATATAAAATTTTGTGGTAGTTTTGAAAAAGCATTTATAACTTGAAGACCAGCAGTAAGCATTAGTTGTTTGTTCGTTTGTTTGTCCACTCTACTGATATAAATGTGAAGTTGCCTAATCAAATTTGACTAGTTTCAAGTTTGATCACGGATTGATATCAGTTGGAGAACAGTTGAAAACTAAGGAGTACTGGCTAGTTGTTTTGCACTAATTTGGAACGTAAGCATTACTCCACCAGGGATCCGATCCAGGACTCTCAAGTTACAAGGTAAGTCCGTTTGCAGTCCAGTCACTGGAACGGACAGGCCATTGGATTCTTCTCCAGTGACCAAATGGTCAGCACGTTGACCTGGTGATCTAAGAGTCATCAGTTTAATCCTTGGTAGGGTAGTGGGCGCATACTTCTGAAGGACCCTAAACTACGACGAAACAGTTTTCCAGTACTCCCTGATCTGCAGTGGTTCTCGAACTGAAGTCATTTTATGATCAAACCTGTTATACAGTGTGCTCTTATGTTAAAGAAAAGTATATGTTCATATATGTGGGCGCCATAGAACATCGTTTTCGCCTAACAATCACGTTCATTAATGTCTAGTCCCTGCGACCTAAAAGTATAGCTTGTGGATGTTTATGAACCAGTAGCCCTTTGGAATCTCGGTGTTATTTCTCATATACTGGACTATAATAATAAGAACTTCATTGTGAAAAAATGTGTTTACACACAATACCAAATTTTCAGCGAGTTTCATTGCAAGGTATTTACCTCTTGTGAAAAATCGTCAGATAATATATCATCTGAAGAAATATTGTTCCATATGAACTATGCTACGATGCTACTCCACAACGTCCTTCCTCCATTTCCTTCAAAAAACTCCTAGTGGTAGGAAGAAACTTATTTGAAATTGTAAGCGAGTATAGATTGAAACTCATTGTAGTAATTAGAAGATTAAAACAATTTAAAACGGAGTAAAAAACGATGCATTTTGATGAACAGAAAATTTAGGTGGCCTAGTGATTTAAGCAGGTCGCCATCTATCTTCTTCAGCTAAAAATATAGTTAGGTTTGCTACCACATCAACAAAGGATCTCCACTTGTTAACCTCCTTGCTATCCAGTTGTAATGATGTAATATTAGTATAATGAAAGGTATTCACCTTTCACCTATTGCTCACTGAACCATCTATATCCCAAGTTCCCTTTCAACATGAATCCAGTTACAGTGTGTTTATAAAAGTTTACGTGTTCATTTCTATGTCCTGAATTCAAATATTCCAATATCACTAATGGTTGTTAATTAGAAGTGTTGTAAACCCAGAATAAATTACAAATATGGTTGTGTATTTTGTTTTATCTACTTTGTATTATGATAACTATTTTTTATAAGTTACCCACTGTCCATTTATCACCAGAACTTCATTCACTTTATTGTAACACTTGTAACAACTAAAGTTTGTTCAAATAGGAATAATGTAAATAGTTTCGAATAATAATGATAATAATTTTTTTCCTAGTAAGTTTATTTTATCACCGATTGGTTTGGTTTATCTGAACAGTAATTATCGTCAATGCGGATAGTAATAATAACTCAGCATATGATAACATTTATGATTACTTATATAACTGAATACGGCATTCTATTCAATGTTAAATTAACCTGTGTATTGTTACATGTACAAATATAATAAGTAAAAACAATGTAACGCAAAGTAAATTAATTGTTTATGCAACTTGACTTATACCATATACTAATAAATCTTAGTTCTTAAGTGTTAGTTTGTAGTG